TATATATATATATATATATATATATATATATATATATATATATCTGTTCGTCAATAGGAATATTATTTTTTAAATAAACAGAAATAATATTCAGAGTTATTTTACAAATTCACCTTTTGACTCGATAACTAACTTGTCCAGCAAAAATATGGACCACAGAATGTATTATATATAATGCTTAATTAATCTAAGTTAAGAAATTAATTATCCAGGTCCCATCCTTTGAAAGTGATCTATGCGGATATAAATGGACACAATTAGAGAATGACAAGAATATCTACTTGCAAAAGGTGATTGAGATTCAAGCTATTTTAAAAAAAGTATTTAAGTAAAAAATTTAACTATGATAACGCGACAATCTATTCTATAATAAATCGACGAGAAAGTATCATGAGGAAAGAAACATTAATAAGATAAAAAGAATTAAATAAAAATATCTTATTCTAGCAACATTTAATCAACAAAAAGTTAAATATATAATTTATAAGAATAATAATAATAAATGATAGCTTAGCAAATAAATTTACATAAAACAAAACTTAATAAGATCATTTGAACAATATTTATTTATATAAATATAAGTTATATAATACTTTAATATACAAATTTTTATTATTATAATAATAATAAATAATTTATAAAATAAAGTTATGTAAAATAAAAAAAATAAAATAATTTCACCATAAATTATTTATCCAAAAAAATAAATTTCATTTTATAAAGTTATAGTATAAGTTATATTTATATAAATATATTTTAGTAAAATTAACTTATTAGTTTATTAAATATATTTTAAATTTATATATTACATTTTGTTATTATAATTATTTTTTACTAAAGTATTGTATATCTTGTTTTTGTATGAACAAATATTTGTAAAATTATTTGATTTATTTTTTATTAAATTATTTATTAAAATATGTGTTATTATTATGATATTCTTATATTTATAGATCTTTTGATTAGCAAAGTTTATAAAAATTTAATTTTTATCAAATTTATCAACTTTGTGTGATCCACACATTGTCTAACTAGATTACACTTAATTAATACTTTTTTATATTATTACATTTATAAAAATATATTCAATCAGTAGATATTGTTAAAAAATAGTTATTGTTTACTTTTTATATTACTGATTTTTTTAAGATGTGATATTTTCCTATTAATTGCAGAATAAATTAGTTTATTTATACATTTTTTACCATGTATTGTTCAGGAGCATATTAAAAAAATCATTAATTTTGTATGATATTTTGGTTCAGACAAGTTGTGTAAAATTCAAACGAATCAAAATCAAATTATTCATCATATGTATGAGAGGCCCAATGGGCTAGTGTCTGTAAGTGAAGCACACTGTCCACCCGGTGAAGATGGAATGTTCCTTTCAAGTTTCAACAACCAAAGCTGTGTAGTTTGATTCAATTTGTTAATTTTCATGCTGCTCTTAATTGAGATATAATTGATCTGTAATCTATCTTCAAATGTTACTTAGAGCACCATTAATGCTATTTTCTTTTAAATTATATAAAATAAAACAACTACTATCAAGCAACTTGCTTTCATCTAGTTGATAGACTTACCTTCAATAATGATTAAAAATGACGTCGCCTGAGAGATTCGAACTCTCGCGGGGAAACCCCATGTACTTAGCAGGCACACGCCTTAACCACTCGGCCAAAGCGACTTTTTATTTGAACATGTGTTTTGCTTTAATTTTTGTCCTCAGATGAAAACTAAAGCTTGTTGGAATACATATTCATTAAATTTGATTTTATCCGTTTAGAATTATTTTCATAATTATAAACAAGTTATCATGCTTTGCGCTTTTTATGTAGATGGGCCATGCATCACTTGATTTATTCAGATAAACCCGTGAATATGTGTCAGATGAAAGGATCCCCATAAGTTTTGTAATTTTTATACAAAGGGACAAAACATTGATTGGGGAGATTACAATGCAGCAAGGTATCTAAAGTTGTACTTGATTAAAATGTTTTTTATCCATATATTAAGACATGTAAATACAAATGCATTGTCATGTATTTCTATTATGTATAGTTCATCAAACTTTGGGGGGCACATGTGAAGAAGTGCTGCATGCAAAGCCAAAAGACATTTTTTCTTTTCTTCAGCTTCCACCTATGCCTTTCGTCCTCGTCCTAGTTTTGCATGATGGGTTCTCTTTATGATAGAGATGTTTTGATGAAGTCAAAGGAGCATCGCACTGTTGCTAATTTTAATTACCTATGTGAAGAGAAGGTAAGTGTGCATGCCTAATGTCTAAATACTTCACTAATTACCTAACTAAGTCAAGTTGAGCTAATTACAGGATTATAACATGTAACAAAGTTCTCCTTTTCAAATAGTATTACGCCTTAGCTGATAAACTTTTCCCCCATTAATATGTACTTTAGTGTTTATTCCTTCTCGTTTCATTTGACAATGTATGCATAATTTTTCTTTTGTGCCTATTAATTGGCCAATTTTTGACAATTTTGATTAATAATTGTACTAAGTTATTTAACCAAAAGGAATAATAAACTTTATCTTATAAGTTAGAAAATTATTTGAAGTAGTCTATAAAAACAAAAGTAATTAGTGAGATAATTAAAATGATTATACACTGATACTCTTTATCGCAGATAAATTATGATTAGTTGTTTTTGAAAAAAGAAAGTAAGAATCTGGTGGAACACTAAGACACTATTCAGCATATGAGTTGGATGTGCACTCCACAACAAGGAAACCTGTGAATGGAGAAAATTAATAAAACATGTACGTACATATATGATCGACCATCCTTGTCGTGGTGCTACTTTTTGTTGTGCTGAGCTATTATATAATCGTTTCTCTGTTATATTGTTTATTTCATTACCAAGTCCGTGAGTGGATAGCATAATATACATTGCCTTATCTACTAGGAAACAAAGGACACTTTGATAAAATATTACAATTTTTTAGAGGTGCATGTATTTAAATAACGACTACGAAATTTTATTTATAATAATTTTTTATCAAAAATATAAAATATCATGCAATTTAATATAATAAAAATATTATTAATTTTATTATTTTCAACGAAATTTTATTATTTATTACTTTTGATCACGTGTCTTTAAATATACATTAAAAAGGTTATATTGTTTTAAAAGAAACGAAACGTCAAATTACATATGTCAAGGCAGGAAAAAAAAAAACGTTTTTGTTTGAAGTTTATAAATATCTAACGATTTTTTCGACTCATAATGTCGATAACATATGAAATAAGTTTTAGAAGACATTTTACTTCAATTATAAATAGAATTAGAATATTTTTTTGATTCATTTTTCAGAATGAGTTAAACTTAATTTTTTTAATATGATTTTATAGTGTATCTAATTTAAATGTTTGATCACTAACAAATATTTAATTTTCAAACTTCACACAGTAAATATCCAATTGTAAATGATAATACATATCCATAATTTTTTTAATCAGTAAACTAATAAAGCTATTTAATAATTATAAAATAGAAAAAAAATACTATAGTATTTAAAAGCTAATTTTTAAAAAACTTGTTTAAGTAGCATTCAATTTATAGTTTACAAATATTAATCATTTTATTATGTTTTTACTTTGTATTCTTTAAATAAACTAACAAGTACAAATTTTAAATCATTCTTTACTCGTTTTATTCTAATATAATATTATATAATTTTTGAATTATTTAATATATTTCAACTAATTTTATCAAATAATTGTAATTCAATTGACAACATATAAATTTCAACTAATTTTATTCAACAAAAACTTCGAATATATATGTATAGTAGATATTTGCAGTTTAGCAGAGAAGCTCAACAGCCCATTGCTAATGCTGGGATGAAAGTGATGATGTGATTGAGCAGTGAAGTAAATAAGCATAAAGAAAGGGACTGGCATCGATTTCCACTAAAATATCCTCTTGTGGTCAACAGAGAATGGTGAAGATTTACCCAAAAACAAAAAGAGTGGTAAAAATAGATGGACCCATTCACCGTGACGCGTTTCCAGCTGTTTAATCCATGTCTTCATATGCTTCTTCTTTCACCAAGACAAAAATATCTCCCCCTAAATCTATCCTTTATAATCTCAACTCACACTATCCAAAACCAGTAAATGCATGGTTGCACGTAATCACGTACCTGTTATAAAACAATTTCACCTAAATATTAACACTGTTAGATGTGTTTTGATATATTTATTATTTAAGTACTTATTTAATAAAAGGGTTCAAATAATAATTCATATGACAAATTTCATTAAATAAGTTTAAATTTTTTTAATAAGTTGTACCAATAAACTTAATAAAATATGCTAAAAACAGTTTATAAAGGTTATAAACCAATTCTTTGAAGTTATTTATACATCCTTCTAAACAAATACTAAGACTACTGTCGAACGTTGATATTGAAAGCTCTCTCTCTTTTCCTGCCGCAATATTAAGTACACATTTATAGTGGGATTTTGGGTAAAAAAACAAAGTTGAAAGAAGGAGTAATTTTTTCATTGAAAAAATTAATTTGTTAATTTAAAATAAAATAATAATCTAACATAAATTTATTATCTTATTATTTATTTATTTTTATAAATTATTAATTTTAGAAAGTTCTTCATTTATATTTTCCCCCCACAACATTACTCCTTGTATCCTAAACCTTCCACACACTATTGATGGATAAATATTTTGGGACATGTTAAGGTAGAAAACAGTTAAAAGAAAATGATGGAAATTAATACTAAATTTAACAACAAAAAAATATGAATTGTTTATATAAATAAATATATTAAATAACATCTTATTTTATTTATCTCTTTTTAAAAAATCTCAATAAAAGATTTTTCTGAAAAAAAATTACACGCGTTGAAAAAGATTAGCCTATATTTGTGTATAAGATATACTTTTAATGAACAGTAATATATATGATACAATTTCAGAGATTAAATAAAAGCTTAGTCTATTCTTATCGGAGGTTAGAAGGTGGAGGAGCAGGGGAAGGGAAAGCCGTTGGGAAAAAACTGAAAAGCCCGGGATTTTTAAATAGGAGTGAGGAGGCAGAGCGAGAGATATACATAGTTGAACTCTAATGGTTTAGCAAACGGTAATTATAATTTCTTACTGTCTATAAAGCCGATAAGAGCGAAGAGTGTTTCACTCGTCTTCTCCGATTCCATTTGTACTTCTAATTCCCTTCCATCATCCTATCATTATCTGTGTGATTAAGGAAAAACAAACTAAGAAAATGAACTCAATTTCTTGCTGTTCCATTATCTTCCTCCTTCTCCTGCAACTCAAAATGGTGTCAGTCATGGCCGCGAAGAAGACTTACATAGTGCACATGAAACACAGCACCCATCGTGACTGGTACTCCTCCGCTTTCGATTCTACTGACTCCCTCCTTTATGCGTACACTACCTCTTACAACGGATTTGCTGCCACCCTAGATGCTCAACAAGCCCACGCGCTTCGCACTTCCGATTCAGTCTTGGCCGTCTACGAAGACACACTCTACACGCTCCACACCACTCGGACCCCCGAGTTCCTGGGCCTCCAGGCCCATTCCGCTTTCTGGGAAGACCTACACCAAGCCTCACACGACGTCGTTATTGGGGTCCTTGACACCGGCGTGTGGCCAGAGTCCCAAAGCTTCGACGATTCTCAAATGCCTCAGGTCCCCACACGATGGCGCGGCACGTGCGAGTCGGCACCTGATTTCGACCCTTCCCTCTGCAACAAGAAGCTCATCGCTGCTCGGAGCTTCTCCAAGGGCTACCGCGCAGCCTCTGGGGGCGGTTACGCAAGAAAAGCCAGAGAAACCGCTTCGCCCCGCGACCGAGATGGCCACGGCACTCACACTGCCTCCACCGCCGCCGGATCCGTCGTCAATAACGCCACCCTACTCGGCTACGCCACCGGCACCGCCCGCGGGATGGCGCCTCAGGCGCGCGTGGCCGCCTACAAGGTCTGCTGGACCGACGGCTGCTACGCCTCCGACATTCTCGCAGGCATGGATCAAGCCATCCAGGACGGCGTCGACGTGCTCTCGCTGTCCCTCGGCGGCTCCTCCTCCGTGCCTTACTACTTCGACACCATCGCGATCGGAGCCTTCGCGGCGATGGAAAGAGGAATCTTTGTTTCGTGCTCGGCGGGGAATACTGGACCTCGCGCGGGCTCCGTTGCTAACGTCGCTCCGTGGATCATGACCGTCGGAGCCGGCACGCTGGACCGGGATTTTCCTGCGTACGCCATGCTCGGGAACGGGAAACGCTTCGCCGGCGTTTCGCTTTACAGCGGAGAAGGCATGGGAGATGAACCGGTCGGTTTGGTTTATTTTAACGACCAGTCGAACTCGTCCAGCAGCATTTGCATGCCAGGGTCGCTCGACCCGGAGAAGGTGCGCGGGAAGGTAGTTATTTGTGACAGGGGGCTTAACGCGCGCGTTGAGAAGGGTGCGGTGGTGCGCGACGCGGGCGGGGTTGGGATGATACTCGCGAACACGGCGGCGAGCGGAGAGGGACTGGTGGCGGACAGTCACTTGGTAGCGGCCGTAGCGGTTGGGGAAAGCGCGGGTGATGAGATTAGACAGTATGCGTCGTTGGATCCTAATCCGACGGCTGTTCTGAGCTTCGGCGGGACCGTGTTGAACGTGAGGCCGTCGCCTGTGGTGGCAGCATTCAGCTCTCGTGGGCCCAACGGTGTGACGGCCCAAATATTGAAACCAGATGTTATTGGGCCTGGCGTAAATATCTTAGCGGGATGGTCTGGGGCTGTTGGGCCATCTGGGTCGCAGGACACTCGCAAGACCAACTTCAACATCATGTCTGGTATTATTGAATTCCCGTGTTAGCTTAAACTTGTGGGCGTTGTGTTGTTATTTTGTATCTCATATGATGTGTTGTTAACCTTCCATGTGTAGGAACGTCCATGTCTTGTCCTCACATAAGTGGGTTGGCTGCGTTACTGAAAGCAGCTCATCCAGATTGGAGTCCTAGTGCTATCAAATCTGCACTCATCACAACCGCCTATACCCATGACAATACTCAATCCCCTCTTCGTGATGCAACCCGAGAAGCCTTCTCCACACCCTGGGCTTACGGGGCCGGTCATGTCAGCCCACAGAATGCCCTCTCTCCAGGCCTTGTTTACGATGCCTCGGCCCAGGATTACATTGCATTCTTGTGCTCTTTGAACTACACCCTTAACCATATACAACTCATTGTCAAGCGTCCCGATGTTAATTGTTCTGTTAAATTTAACGACCCTGCCCAACTCAATTATCCCTCCTTCTCCGTTGTGTTTGCAAGCAGTCAAGTTGCTCGATACACGCGCACGTTGACTAACGTGGGGGAGCCAGGGTCCGTCTATGATGTTGCCGTGAGCGGGCCATCCATGGTGGGGATAACGGTGCATCCTATCAGACTTGTGTTTGGAGAAGTAGGACAAAGCCTAACGTACACTGTGACCTTTGAGTCCAATAGGGGTGTTGATGATTCCTCTACTTCTGAATTTGGTAGCATTACGTGGAGCAACGATCAGTACCAAGTTAGGAGCCCGGTTGCTTTTACATGGACCGATTTATGATGTTGTGATCTTACACTATTGTTCAACTAAGGCCCAACAGCGATATGCAAGAATTACAACCCCAAAAACGAAAAAGATGATTGACTCGATAGAGCAATTGTAATAACAGATTTAGTTGCACATAGTTAAAGCTAATGCAACATAACACTGACCTATCACGTGGCATAATGCCATGCACTTCAGAACCCTTAATCAAAGTGGAAAAACAATGAGTGAATTTGCGCAACCCAAATTTATGCCGTCACAATCTGAATTGGTGTTGAATAATGATGCATCTAATGATATGTTTGGCTTTACAGTTGAGAATCCCCAAAGTGCGGTTAAGACAAAAATAAGATGGAGAAAGTTGTAGCCGTACTATAATTAGAAGCATTTGAAAGTGAAAAGCAAACGTGCACTAAAAAAGGCAGAGATATGCAAGTTATGAGTATGCTTTCAGCTTTTCCCTCATCCCGGAATCAGGTGGGCAATTTCACAAATGTGGAAACACTTGACGGACAATTTAGAGGTCCTGAGCACCCCATGTGCAATTCATGAATTTATTTAATTTCTCTTTGGTACTTGGCATGGCTTGCAGTTAATCAGGCGAGAGAAGGTGGTAGCATGTTCTACCGCAGTACATACTACACACGGTCATTTCAAAGTTAACACTTCCTCTGAATTTCTAATTACTAGTTATTTCGAAGTGTCTTATTCCGAACGATCTTGGCCATGAATGGCTACTAATCGGTGTACCAAATGAAAAGACATTTCCTGTGTCCTGTGTCAGTTATGCAGAAAAAGGTAGCTCACAGCAATCACTTATTTTCCTGCCGTGCCATTTGATTATTTCGTCCATCATCAACTTTCTTGTAGGACCACAGAAGTTGAAACTTGGAGGGAAAAAAATCAATAAGACAAAAAAGAAAACACTTTTCTCTTTTCTGTTTTCGGAGATAAAACACTTTATCCTTATCATGTTTTTTAGGAAGCTGACAGCGCTTACAACATGTAAAAGAACCAAACACGCCTTAACAATCAAGCTCTATTAAAATGAAATATCGATATTAATGCTCATACCTCCCTTCTGCACTAAAAATATGGAACAAATATTTATTATGCTTATCAAACCATGCAATCTTAATCAATACCCATTTTCTACTATTGCGTCTTTCATTACACTTGCAAGCAATATTGGAGATTGAGAAAAGCAAAGGATCGAACTTATCTGACCCACAATTACAAGCAGAGCTATTACATTTGCTTCTAGTAACCATATAATGCAAAATCTAACTTAGAACATTTATAACCCTTTATATTTCCAAAATTTATACTCTAGCTATTATAAATGCAATTTTGACAACAAGAGCTTCAGATATTTTTTTCCCTTTTGGAAAAGAATATACTAACAACATAAACAACAAGGATTCCAACATGACTCTGTACAACAGCAACATGAGCTTACCTTTGGACACCCAGGGCAAGAGCAAGTGCAAGTGCATTTGCAACTGCAGCAAGAGGGGCAAGATGGACACCCAAATTTGCAACTACTTGGGAAAGAGCAACAATTTCCAAATCCACAACCCCCTTTGCAACAATTTGATTTAGGACAAGAGCAACAGCAACGCCACTTTGGTAAGGAGCAATTGATGGATGGAAGACAACTGCAACTGCAACTGCATGGTTTGCAGTCACAACAGCAGCGTGGCAATTTCAGCTGTAAAGATAACCCTTCACAGCAGCAACAGCAGCAGCAGATCCAAGAGAGGTTAAAACATGGCATTCCGCTGCACATAAAAAGTTACTCATGTTATTCATGAATCATTATAGTTATTAAATAACGCTTACTATGATTGGAGGTGCTTCTTCAATAAATGAAATCTAACCAGCTTATCATATCAATCATTTTCTGATGGCAACTCCGGTTTATGTCAATATACACACACCACTGTTAGCCGAATGCATGATTAAGCAAGCATCATGCCAGCATGTTTGTATGATGCAGAAAAAAAGTGACATGATCACATGCCAAAATCTTTAAATTTGGGCACTGCTAAGAGTGTGGTTCCTCAGAGTTAAACCAGAATTTTCAGAAAGAAAATTATTTTATTTTTTAACAAGAAAATACTAAAAAAAAAAAAAAGAGTGGCAAGAGGGGAAGAGATATTATTTGCTTGTGACTGATGCTTAACCTCTTTCTTGTCATACCTTTCAACAAATAACTGCATGTGAAGGAAAACAGACTAAATAGTATTATTGCATCTGATAACTATCACTATCAGGAAATGAAAATCCCATTTTCTTTTTTTAATCAGAAAAGCAAGCAGTTAATTGTGCACAATATCATTTTATTAGTATAAAACTATTTAATCTGTATGCATTGAAACCAAAATTTCACGCATGCATACATGTATAAAAGTATAAACGGATAAATTAAATAAGTGGTACCAGAGCCACTTCCAGAAGCGGCATGACCTGCGGCTCTTCTTGGTTCTGCTTGAAAGAGAAAGGCATAAGAATCATGATCTCTTTTAAACTAACAAACGATGATTGATGATTGATGAATGATGAGAACATTTCTTACGAAGGTAACAGAGGATCTGAGTTTGCCATCACATAATCAGCAATCCTGCATTATTGTTGCATTCAATCAGCAAAGTACATTAGACTAGCAATAATTCAAACATTTGAAGTAATTTCTGTAGTTTCACTTGATATTTTCAAAGACAAAATGGGAAACAAACAACTCCACAGATAAACATACTCTTTGCAGCATCTTGAAGCTGGTTGAAGGCCTTCCACAGATTTTAATTCTTCCTGCAACGTGCAAACTTGCAGTCAATTTGATTTCAACACCAGATGCCAGAAAGAGAGTGCACAAACTTGATCCAAATTGGAAATTTTGACTCTAGTATCATGGTGCCATATTATCTATTATTTTCTCTAACGCCATATCTTAATTACTTGAGACTGAGAGGGAGAGAAATAAATAATTACTCAAAAATGTTTTATACATGTGAGTGAAAATATTAGCAGATTGCTTTCACCCTCTTAGATTCGGAGCAATTAAAAGTGGAAAACCAGCTCTGTCATCCTTCAATGTAGTTTGCAAACAGGAAAAAGAGTCATCAAACGGCATCCACGGATAGAAGACTTTGCTAAAGATAATAACATTGTTACTTCTTAGGTTTACTAAACGGTAGGGGTTAGCTACCTCCTCACATTGACCACTGTAAATGATTAAATTATTGATCACTGGAAGAGGCCATGAATTGGTTGAAAGTTTCAACCCCTTCTCGCTAAATTTACAAAAAAGAAAAATCACAGATGGGCCTATCTATCCACCCATGAATCCTGGCAGAGATCACCCCATTACTCTGTTTCATGCTGAAAGTTGAGTAGTGATCATGAAATTGCCTTCATGGATGGTTAGAAAAGACATGTTAGTGTGAATTTCCCTCCTGTTTGAAACTCCAACATTCTCAAAAGACTTCCTTTCTAGTTCAAATTAGAAAAACGGCATGTGATAGAAACAATAATTAAAAAGAAGCAAAAACACACCTCAAGAAAACTGATTTCCCTCTCAAGCATCTGAACTCTGGCCATTTCACGGCGCTTGCCATACAAATCTGGGTACTCAGGAGGGGACTTGGGGGAGGGTGGAGGGAGGGAAGAAGAAGAGCGAAGCATGGGAGTGGCCATTGTTGAAGTGAGAGAGAGAGAGAGAGAGGAGTGAAATGGACAGAACAAGAAATGGCAGCAGTAGCAGGCAGTGATAGCAGAAGTCCTTGTTGATGCACTAAGGAAGGGGGCACAAGTAACAGTAATGGTAAGTGACAAAGAAGAAGCGGCAAATGAGGTTAGGTGTGAATACCATACGAAAAGACTGTGGCAGGGGCAGTAAATAGGGTCTCTGACAAGGGATAATTAAGAAAGACCCAGAAGCACAAAATAAATAAAAATACAAACTTGAGGTTGAGGGGTTGAACTTTGGAGCAAAGGAAAAGTAACTGAAAAGAGTGATAATGAGGGTAGAAAGAGGGTCATTATTATTGTGAAGTGCACAAAAATAAAATAAAATAGAATCCATTTTACTGGCATTTCATTATATTCTGATTTCCGAGAGTGGAGGCAGAGGGAGAGATGCACATATTTTGTGTAATGTGTGTGTGTGCATGGTGTATAGTGTAAGATAATAATAACGGAAAAGGGTGTTAATTATAAATAGTAAAGACGGCTGAGAGAAAGGCTGCAACTGCAGGTGTGTGTACGAACCCATTTAGCAAAGTTGAGGGGATATTGATTGAATGTTTGATTGAGAATTAGGAAAGAAAAGTAAGTGTTATTGTTATTGGGTATTGAATTGGTGTGAGAAAATGAAATGTAAATTTTGAAATGAAATGGTGGAAGAGCGAGGGAGCGAGCACTGAGCAGTGTGGGCTGTTGTTGCAGAGAGCAAGCGAAAAGCACGATGGGAATACCTCAGACCGCACGTGACCGCTGCGTAGGAAAGAGAATTCTCTCTTCGACCACACGACGAATTTCCCCTGATTTTGAGAACAACCTAGCGCCAACCATCTTTCTCTTTTCTCCGTTTTTCAAATTTCTCGCATTTCTCCATTCCCCTTTCTTTACCACGATTCCCTTTCTTTCTTATTCTTACTTCCCATGTCTCTTTATTACATTTCAGACTTCATTTACATGATACCGTAAAACAGAGTACTGTTGGTAATACAAATAACAAAGCTTTTGTTTCCATATGGTTTCTTTCATTTATTTATTTTTAGTATGTTTTAATGAATCTTTTAATAAAATTTGATTTGCTTTAATTCAAATCTTGAAGGTGTTTATTTAATGTACTAATTCTTATGGAAAGAAAAGGACTCGTGTTGTATTATTTTATGACAATTTGAATTTTATATACAAGGGTGTCAAATACCTTAGGGGACATGCTGAGTAAAATGTCAAAGCTACGTTATTTGACAGAGGACTTATTTATGAACGTTTGGAATAATTTACGTGAAATTTTTTAAAACAATTCACGATTCTTGTGATTTTTTAAACTTATTTAATAGATTTTTAACAGAACTTGTGAAAATATCTGTTTAACTTATTAAAAATATGTATATTTAAAAGTAAAATAATCACGTTGCTCGTTTGAAAATACGTTTATAATGATCAAACTTGATTCTCTACATTTAAATGTGAGGTTGATAAATTGGTATCTTGTTTGTTGTTTGATAAATAAATTGGGAGTTTGGGCAATGCAATATATATTTCTCCAATTATATTACAATCACTTCATGCATGCTAATGATCTCACACGTCTATCTATCATACACCTTTTTTTAATAACTTTGTGTGTTTGGGTGTAACACGTCAAAATCAAGTTCATACTTCAAATCATGTTTGATTAAAAGTGAAAAAAAAAGAAAAAAGGAGGTGCTAGATTGTAAAAAAAAAATCCCAGATTTTATTACAACTTCCACTTGAAATAAAATTTAAAATATGAAAATATGATAACTTATTAATAATGCTATTTTAGTAAAATTATCATCTCATGTTTCATTTAATTCTGACCATGTGAGGGGAGGGAGAGAGATATTTATTTTAAAAAATATACAAATGAACTTATATACAATCTTTTAAAGAGAAAAATTAATGGTTTAGTTGATAAATTTTAAGGGAAAAAAAGTACGGATTCCAAGCTTTTAATGCAGTCCTACCTCTTTCCCATTATTTTCTCTATGCAGTCACGACTTGGCTTTCTCTAATATAAAATCTTCTGACCTTTTCCAACACTTTAACAAGGTTTAAACTTATTAGAAGTACACTCGAGTACTATGCACAATTTCGTTTAATAACATATCTGTGGAATGTCAATTCTATATGTTTTAAATATTTATTTATGTAAAATATCATAATTAATCATGTTAAAATACACATTTATAAAATTGTTTTCTTAATCTCAATTATTACTCAATAAATAATAACATGGCATGCATTAAATTATGTGAAGACGGTGATTTTTCTGAGTTTGCGTGTGACTTATTAAATTACAACACAGCTAGTTTGAAAAACAATGAAAAATCAAAATTGACAAAGAAATATAAAAAAAAACATATATTTATTAAAATTGAAAAAATTGACACGCAAACAATGTAGCTAATATGAATGTTTGAATGTATTGAAAATGTTGATGTTATTGTAGCTTAGTCAGTTATGGAAAGAATTAATAGGACGTATATAGTTGTAAAGTGGTAGTTAGAGAAGTTAGTAATGGTAGAAATTAGCTTTCCATTTATGGTGGGAATATTTATAACGTTTTATTTGGCACATTAAATGATATTTGGAGTGGAATAATATCTCTGTCTTCATACAGAAGATCTTAATTAATTAATTGAACTCTTCCACTTCTCACCTCTCGTCCGCATCAATAGTACTTCGCTATGCAAATCTCATTTTTAAATCAATTTCCCTCTTCTAAATCTCAGATCCTACTTTTCAGACTAACTTATTATAAACTAATTACTGTAATATATTTTTTAAATATATAAAATTTCAATTAATTATATTTTATTGTTGTTCAGTTTCTACACAATTTAACATTAACATTAAGATAACTTGTATCATATCACTAAGTTATATTAATTCTTGCCCTATTTAGTAAATTTTTATTGGATTAATTGTTCAGTGTGTGTAATATCACAAATTAACCGTTAGGGTTTATAAGTTAATACGTGAGCGTACATCTACTAGAGTATGAATAATAACATCACTTTAATATCTCTCTCTTTATTATATCGTACAGTTATTTATTTCGAACCATCCATAAGCTTAGACAGGCATTAAATAGTTTACTTGCCACTACACAAACCGAGAGTGTATAAAACTAATTGGTAATAAGTTATATTATAAAAAAAATTTCACATTAAATATTATAGATCTCAATTTAAAAATTGTTTTTCATTATTACACTAAGTGTTTTTCAATATAAAATTAGTAATTTAATCTTTTGATTGTTTTTCATTTTATTTCAATTAAGTCTTTTGTTTATTTCTATATTTTGTTATTTTTAATATCAATTAATATTTTATTTTGTTATTAATTATGTTTGACTCTACTAAATTATCATTTTTTTAAAATTAATATCGTCCCTATTATCATTTTTTTTTCTTCTACTTTATCTAGTCAGTGTAGTCACACACGATTAGTCGAAAATTTATATAAAAAAAAGTGAAAAGATAAAAAATAAAACAAAACCAAACTAAAATATTAAATTAATCTATACTTTCTAAAAAATAGTTTTTCTGTCTAAAAATATTTAATATCTATTTATCAAAATTAATAACATGCACATCAAACATCACTGGTTATATAGATATTACTATTCAGTCTTTATAAAAATCTAAGACGAAACAAATAAGATATAATTGTAAAATAATAGTTCGACTTATAAAGAATACAAATTATAAAGTTATTAAACGTATAGACTATTTAAACTAAAAATCTACTTATTTATTCTCTTACGCTTTTAGACATAATCCAGGCATAAATTGTAATAATATCCATAGCTTGTTGTTTTATTTTATTTTTAAACATGAAAACGTGAAATGCTTGGGAGAACCTAACATAACAATGCGCGTATGGTTTTTGATACCATGAGTCCAAAAATGAGGTTTGGAGTGGAGTGATATCAATAATTGATTATTGGGCCATAGAGCTTAGCTGCATCAATGGAAGAAAACATCTCCATATTGCTGTTGCTCTATCCCATCACCACAGGTTCTCTTGGATGATTCCATATTAAGTATTATACATTTAATTGCTTTTTATACAATCGCGTATACAACATGTCTTAAACCCTGTTTGAGCCATGGCTGCTACAAAAAAGGGTTACATTGCTGAAAAATATCATAATATTATTTATTGCTTTTAAAAAATTAATTGTAACTTTATATTTTAATATTTGGAAAAAGTCAAATATAGGAGAAAACAACTAAAGATCTGATTTGGCGGTACAAGTGGTGGCATATAACGGTCGACTATTCGTCGTTTTAACATCTTTGTTCGAAAAAATGGAAGCAAACGAATGAATGTGTAATCAATCAGCTGTCATTCAAGGAAGCTCTCCACGTGTCATGCCATGCCAACCAACATTACTATAACAGGTTTTTTACAAAATGTAGTTACGAAACCAATTCTATACAGTTATAATTAAAGAAAACATATTAATGTTTGTTTTTCATTTTTTGTAACATACAAATATGTTAATGGTTCAAAAAGTTATTGGAAATATATATTTTTAATTATTAAGTAAATATTTTACTATAATTAAAAAATATAGTTAAATTAATTAGATTTGACGACACAATAGGCAGGAAGAAGAGAAGGCCCAATACAATACGGTAGGTAACAACGTCTATTACTATTCCATACTTTAAAAGATTAATTGCACCACTCAAAATCATTTTTTTGTAATGACAAAAAAAAAACCCCATATATTTTGTGTTATGGATTCTAAAATATTCTTTTGGTGCAATATTTATAATCTTTTACTGGGGGTTACAAATATCACACTTCATTCACCTAAAAATAATTAATGTCACAGATTTAGAAAATTTAAGTTATTAAAACATTAGATTGAAATTTTAATTAAATATTGAAGAAAATTATCAAGTAATCCATGCAGCTATAATCAT